AGCCAACAAAACTGTAAATATGCTGTCCCAAATTTAAATATGGTAAAACAATGGTTTCATATCGGTAAATACAGGTAAACGTATGTTTAAAATTTCAAGAACAGCATTTAAATGGTTCTCAACTTTATGCATGACCTTTGACCTTACAAACTACAGGATAGACTGACTGTAGCTACATCCATCCTTCACATCCTGTTTTGAGTCAAATTGAAAGTGCCTATTCAAACTGACTGATGACTTGCTTAAGAGAACGTTTCTGCACCAACTAGAGATCCTATGAGCGATGAGATACAGGGGTCAACCGTTTATCAGCCTGGCCAATTATCGGAGCCGATATTAAGCATTTTAATGGTTATCGGTCATTTTCAAAACTGATTTGCCAATAAAACAATTTAAAAGCATTTAAAGAAAGTTTTTGCCAGAGCCCTTATTATTCTTAATATTAGTTTTAATTTTTACACCAGATATACATGTCGGTTATCGGTCTACTTGATCTGTAATAATCCTTATCGGCCCTGAAAAACATCTCATTATGGAGTCAACCGATATCACAATCAACAAGTTTCAAGCTCAATGGCAATCCAACAGTTCATGTTAAGTATGTCAGGCTGGCAAGCTCCTCTCAGAGAAGTTGCATCTCCTCTAAATAAGCCACTGCCATCAAAGCTTTGTAATAAATGCAACACCTTTAGTGATAAATTTCAAGACAATTATTTTAATTGTTTGTCTACACATATGCAGACAAATGTCTTTAGCTCAATAAATGGTCACTGTGACTTCATATTCTGAATGATACACACTATAATTAGAAGTTTGAAAACATCTCAGAGGAGAAAAAATTAATCAAAAAGCAACCAACATTTTTCACAGGAAAAAAAAGCTAAATTTTTCATTTACGAATGAATTTGCACAACTGTCCTTGAGCATTGGAACTAATTAAATGCATAACTGGGACAGAGCAACAGAACATGGAGAGGCAGCTACATGCAACAACAGAAGTTAGCCGTCTGCTGCATTAAAAATTTAATAAGATCTGTGGGTGTCCACAGCAAATCTCGGCTGCATTGTCCAAACCCAGAGAGGCCGATAGCGTGACCATTAAAAATGCAAATTTCTTTTGCCAATCACACAAAAAGTGGCGCTTGTTAAATCACGTGTGAAGTACAGGCATAAGGGTCTATTGTAATCTCATATCAAGAGTTTATACACACACTAAAAGGGTGGTGATAGAGTTTCCTGTGATCTCAACACCATCCATCAATCAACAGATGATTCTGAAAATAAAATATTAAATAAATAAAACAAACATATACATTTTAAAGTGTATTTATACTTATATATTACTAATTACTAATATCATAATTAATACTATATTATTATACATTATTTTATATTATATTTAATACAGTTTTTATGCATTGTAAGATTTTCCAATGAAATATTTTTGACAATTAGACATTCAAATTGCAAAACCAAAAAGTGAATGTATTCACCATACATTCAAGACATTCCAGTAATTACTATCATGAAAAAAAAAACATGTATATGTAAAATTATTTTATATGGAAAGATTAACATTTATGGGAGATTTCAGTAAGATACGAAATAATCGATCTCTCTCATACATCTTAGAGGCTCAAGTGATAATTTGGTCAAAAGGCTTCCCAAAATTTCAGTCTAAGGGAGTCTCTCTGTTGTCCTCTGGTTCTCCCTCTCTCGACTAATCGTGCCACCCGTTCACATAATAGCATTTCAAAAGATGAAGCCACTTTTTATTGCATGCCAATTCTCAAAGGCAGTCAACAGAAACAAGCGCGTCATTCATAACGGAGCCCAAAGCCCAGTGTATCACTCTTCACAGACAGAGGGTCCCAGTGAAGGGAGGACAAAGGCCCCACTGCATCGGCACGTTACCAATTAACAGGAATTTTGCCTTAAAAGGCCGCTTTTCCAATGATCTTACTTGAAGCCGACTTAAACTTCCATGGCTTTCACTGAAAGGCATTCACAGAATTCCGAAAGGCATTAAGGCCACTTCATGGGTTCTGGGCCCCTTCTTCAAGAGCCCTCAATGGTGTTATGAGCACGTCTAATTAGGAGCATCAGTCCCTCCTCATGAAAGCACCCATAAGGACCATCAACAGCCACGGGCAATGCAGAGAAACAACAGATGAACACACTGATGACGGATGCATTAGCTAATTGCTCCAAATCACTATAGGATAAACAGCTCATTGGAATAAACACTAGTACAAGATTTAAGAGAATACTTTAAAGTTATCAGATGCTCACTCATTACAGCATTTCAGTTCTGAGTCTTGTGTTAGATTTCTTTATTGGTGGTGCTTATTGGGTTGGGATTCGAACAAACCCCTAACTCAAAAAATTGTTACAGACATGGATGATTCCTCAAATCAGCTTTTTAGGTAAATGCATTCTATTAGCCTACTTTTCAAAATGACTGGACTTTTAAATGTTCACCTGACGGACAATAAAAAGGGTGGTGGTGGTGGGGGGGGGGTGACATACGCACACCTACTTCAATGAAAAATCACATTTGCACTGCAAATCCATTCTGCTAAACCCTAAGATTAACATTGACACTGAGACTTTTTGGCAAAGACTCAACATGGCAAAGTGCCCGGGATAACCAGGATGTACAGCAACAGAACTGGAATTTATTCAAATTAAATGTAAGTCAACAGAGAAGTTGAAACCCAAAGATAAACACAAAAATGGCTGCTTTACCAGCCACTGTTGTGCTCTAGTTCTCAAACCAAAGATGATGCGCTAAACATTCAAGTGAGGTTGATGGTTAAAGATGCACTCTTAAAAATAAAGGTTCAGAAGAAGAACAATTTTTAGTAAACAGTTCTTAAAGTACCATTTTTTCTTGGTGTAAAGAACATGAATAATCTAAAGAACCCCTTTTCATTATTAAGAACCTTTTGTGGAATGGAAAGATTCCATGGATTTAAAAAGGTTCTTAATGGAACTATTAATGCCAATAGAGAATCTTTATTGAGTGTACTCTTGTTTTTCACAGCAATGCCATAGAAGAACCATTTTGGCTTCTCCGGAGAACCTTTTAGTGAACAGTTCTTAAAAGAACCATTTTTTCTTAGTCTAAAAAACATTTACTCTAATAACCCATTTTTTCCACTATAAAGAACCTTTTGTGTAATGGAAAGATTCTACAGAACTAAAAGGTTCTTTATGGAACCATAGATGCTAAATTGAGAACCTTTATTTTTAAGAGTGCAGCCTTCCAAACATTCAAACCAGGGATGATTTGTTTAGTACAAACCACGCTCTCACTTTCACTTACCTAAGTGCATTTTGCCATGAAGAACGAGGAGGCTGGGAAAACGAAACACTGAGGACAGCAAGTGTGGGCGAGGGCTTTCTACCAAGATGAGAAGTAGCAAACTAACAAATTATAGCTCAGCTCTATGCTCAAACTCCCCTGATATGATTTCTAAGGCTCTAAACCCATGACTTACAGTTTTGTAAAGAGAATATCTGCAAATGTAAAGCCCCTTAATCTACTGTAAAATGATGCAAGGTGTTTCTCATAAAAAAACACTATATGGAGAGAAAAAAAAACATGACTACATTAGTGGACATCACAATTCATGCCATGCACATGTCTGAAAAAGCCTAAAAATTACCAACCCAATCTCACGAGAATACTATTTTACAAGTTTAATTTGTACAATGTGATTCATAGGAATACATACAATTTTTCGAAGGTCCACACCTGAACATAACCTTCAATGGGGCGTGAACATAAAACAAAAACAAACAAATGAGATTGTATGAATTTATACAAATCAGCCACAAATTTGTCAAAACATAAAATTGTTGCCATGAGAGTGTGTTGAAATAAGTTGATTCAAGCCGATTATGGCTTTCTTACATTTAAAGATGTCCAAAAATAGGAATTAAACACTCATGCCTTATAGCAAACTCAACATTTAGAGATTTGAGTCATCTTGAGTGGGAGAACCATAATCCCAAACACCGCCAACAAATCAGGCTAGAACTTCTCTTTAGTTCACTGAAGAGGTTCACTGGCTGACTGCCATGTGCAGGAGGCATTAGATAGATAGATAGATAGATAGATAGATAGATAGATAGATAGATAGATACGGTCTGATTAATCAATCTATCACTAACACATTTCATTAAAAGTAGAAAAAGAAGCAAGTACTGAAAGAAGTAAACAACACTCCATCAACAATCTTCGTCTCAGATGTTTCTACTAAACAGATAAATGAGAGAATAGTTGTACACATCTATAAAATGAATGTGGATAGCAGATATGATTTGGTCTGAGAAATATTTGAGTTCATATTGGACTGTCGGTCATGTAATTTTGGCAATATGAACACAGTTTGAGACATTGTTGAGATCTGCAACTCCAGAGGAGACACGCGAAATTACTGGCGTGTTTTTCCTCAGGAGAAACATCTGAGAAGCTCTTTATTTATTCCCAATATTGTCTAGAAGAAACAACCGACATAGTAGAGAAAAATCGGGATCTGATTTGCAGTTTTCCTTTCCTACAGGAAGATCTAGTTCAGGTGTGACGTAAAAAAAAAAAAAAAAAAAGACAAATTCAGACTTGTCCTTTACAGGACTTCGGCTAGTTTAGTCATTTGAAACAGCTCACCATTGCGGTTGTTTGTCACACAAATAGATCAATAATCATACGAATTGCATCTGATTTAAATGGAAAACATCACGAGCATTTGTCGTTGTTGAGACACAATCTTACAGTCCTTTTAAACCGGCGGATCGGAGAAAAAAATACCCGGATTTATAAACACCATGGACAAATAATCGGCATGGACTTCGTTTTAAACAAAATGCCATAACGTTTATATATTTCATCAACCGGAAATGTGATTAAATTCACCTTGAGCTCTTTTTAATCTGAACGCCCAGCAAAAAATATACTAGCCTATATAAAAATAGCCAAATCCAGTCGTACTCACCTTGTCGAGAACCACGAATGGGGTGTGAATAAAATCCTTTCGTTTTCCGGTTGCTCTGCTCGACCTTTGAGTTACTGTTTTCGCTGTATGAATGACCGAGGCTCAGCTTTCCACAGTCAATACCGCTGACCGGCTCTGACAGAAGAAATGAAACGGTTAGTGCGTGTTCATGACGGGGGTTGCCTGGGAATGCGCACAGCTGCAAGAGTCATCGTTAATAACAATGTCACGCCGGAAACAATGAATATATCCAGCGTCACGATCAAACGCGATCGGGGATGATCTGATGCCTGGATACGCAGCAGTAGCTTATGTCGTCCCTGAGAAACCGCGCACGGCCGAAGGCGAAGCCGAGACCCATGACACCCATATGATGATGGAAACTGGAAAGGCAGCAGGAAGGGCAGGGCGCTTTGACGTGACACTGTTTTACTACGTTACACTTGACTAGCAGAGACAAGTCTGCAACAGCAGGAGAGAAAGAGAGAGAGAGAGAGAGAGCCTGGAATGGGGTTCATCATGACTCTGTGGAGAATTTAAGGTAACTGGGCCACCTATTGCTGGATCTGGGGCACCCGAAACGTCATTTTGAGATTGCTCAGTGCAAAATAAATAAATAAAAATTACATAAATACAAATGTATACATGGCTTACATTCACAATGTAAATAAATAAATAAATATAAGGTGTAAACAGGGCAAATACTGACAAATAGAAATGTAAGTGGGGTTTCGCTTTTGAACAAATCTGTCGTTCGAACGAATCATTTAAAGCAGGGGTGGGCAAACTTGGCCCTTCCAGGCCACTTTCCTTCAGAGTTTAGCTCCAACCCTAATCAAACACACCTGAACCAGCTAATCATTGTCAGGTGAGTCATATCAGGGTTGGATCAAATCTCTGCAGGAAAGTGGCCAGGAAGGGCCAAGTTTGCCCATCACTGGTTTAAAGGGTTAGTTCAGGGGTAGGCAAGTTCAGTCCTAGAGAGCCTCAGTCCTAGAGAGCCGCAGTCCTGCAGAGTTCAGCTCCAACCCTAATCAAACACACCTGAACAAGCTAATCAATGTCTTCAGGATTACTAAGGCTATAGGCAGGTGAGTTTTGTTTTCAGGGTTGGAGCTGAACTCTGCAGGACTGCGGCTCTCTAGGACCGAACTTGCCTACCTCTGGGTTAGTTCATCCAAAAAAGAAATTAGCCCATTATTTACTCAGCAGTGAGGAATGCAGTGGAGAAAACAAAACAAAACAACGGTCACGAATTAGAAGTGCAAAACAAGGATTTCGATATAAGCCAAGAGGAGACTGATTTTCCTTTGCTAAAGTAAGGAAACTTAGCTTCCTTTGCTTCTGTAAACAAACGTTGGTTTTCGTGAGACTCAAGACGTGCATGCGCTACGCCTACGTCCTTGACCTACATCATCCGCCCGGAAAGGCTGTCGTGTACAACTGTTAGCGCAAGCTAGAGAAAAGTGATTATTATGTTTTAAATATGGATATTTTTCTTACAAAAACACATCGATTCGCTACAGGAGGCCTTTATTCAGGAGGCCTTGTAAGTGTGCAAGACTGTCCCAGGTCTTAAAAACGCCAGAGCGCAGTGCCCTTAACACACACTAAATCCACACTATCTCGAATAGCGCTCCGGAGTGGTATACGAGGCTTAGCATATCCCATCATGCATCATGTTGTGGAAATAAATCGTGAGACTTTTTGCCGAGATCTCGTGAGAGGTCATGGAAACCTTTCCAATGTATGTGAAATATTAATAATAATATTAATAATAATTAGATATTACATATAATTTGGTAGTAAAACAAAGAGTTGCATGTTTTAATTGTGCAAATGAGTAATAATAATAATTAATAATAATTAATTACATTTATATAGTGCTTTTCTAGGCACTCAAAGCGCTTTACATTGTCAGGGGGTCTCTCCTCATCCACCACCAGTGTGCAGCATCCACCTGGATGATGCAACGGCAGACATAGTGCGCCAGAACGCCCACCACACACAAGCTTATTGGTGGAGAGGAGACAGAGTAATGAAGCCAATCAGTAGAGATGGGGATTGTTAGGAGGCCATGATGGTCAGAGGCCAATGGGCGAATTTGGCCAGGATGCCGAGGTCACACCTCTACTCTTTTCGAAAGACATCCTGGGATTTTTAATGACCACAGAGAGTCAGGACCTCGGTACAGGGTGATATGGCTGCTTGCATGCCATGTAGTGGTATAATTATTTTGTGATATAGTAGTGGTGATAATTATTTGGTACAACATTTGCAACTGCTTTTTATCACTAGAAGCGCCACAAAATTAAATCGTGCCATCTGTTATAGGGACTACTGAACAGACATTTAGAAGTTGATTTTAAAATGCAAAGTATTGAAAATAAAAAT